TTTTTTTAAAATATAAGAAGCTGACTCATATAAATTGCGGGTTGGCTCGCAGTGGAAAGCCGAGCACAAATGGTTGTGGATTGTATGATAAGTCCCCTAGACTCACACGCACAAAAGTATTACGCTGCGTGTGGCTCTCTTTCGCCTGCATCTTAAAAAATCCGCCCTTTAAAAATCGATTACCCGATACAGCAGTATACAAGCAAACGCAGAGCCCAGACAAATTCTGGCAAAGTCTCTGAAACATGAAAAACGCACCTTTCCAAGACCATGGCTTCCATGCCCAACACGCAACACCACTGGATAGCGAGGTTTTGAGCTCTGTAACAAGATTTTCCAGGATTCTGCATGTGGAAAAACGCATTAAAGTCTGCAATTGATTGCAAGACAAATCTCGTACATTCAAAGTCTCAATGATTTTTCCAGCTGGGGCCTCAAAATATGTTCAAATACCAAATTTTCAAGGATCCCAGCTATGCGTTTTGCTGTGCAGCGCTATAGCGCTGTTACAGTGAGCAAGGACGCATACTGTCGAGAGGTTGTCCGTGTGTATGTTGGGAAGCAAGTGAACTTTATCACTCGGTTTCAGTTCAAAGAAAAGCTGAGCAGCAGAAATTTTGAAGACATATTCTCATCCCGTGTGCCACCCCTCCTCCTCCCCGTTTTAAAGTAAGCACTTAGAGCATCTAGATTTCGCGTACCGACCTCCCCTCCACCAAAAAAAAAAAAATATGCAAATTCTTTGGCGGAGAATGATTTCGGGAACCAGACAAGATAGAAAGCTGAAACTTTACATGGATATTCTCTGTACATGTGTGAGCTTAAGATTTCAAATTCAGCTATCGTGCACGTTTGTACCGCGTGTGCGGTTGCGTCAAATTTCGTAGTTAGCACTGTATCTTTACTATCAATCTGGATCGTTTTGTAGTTGAATTTGTGTAACAATCACGACAACACTGCTAGCAGTTGCTTTTCCCGAAATGCTTTAAAGCAGCGTAAAAACAAAAAGAATTTTTGTAACTTTTGGGACTTGCACTGGACAGGCTTGCACGACCGAAATGAATGAATAATTAAAAGGAGTTCAGGCTTCCCAAAAAAGGTCTCGAGCCCAAAATTTTTTTGAACGCTGACGCGATACCTCATCTTCTCGATGCACCGTCTCTCCTCTCATCCTTTCTGCTTTGGTATGATTATATTACACTGGTTATCATTAGTGCCGGAATGCTCCAGTAGTGCATTAACCGTTCACGGATGTTTAACTATTGAAATAGCAATAGTAAACTCATTTTTAAGTTCTCAAAGCTCTGTTACTACTCGAAGATTAAGCTAACTTACAAAATGGTTGAAAGCCGGATAATAAGTTTGCTCGATCAAAGGCATTGGATTTGGAACAGCCGTTTCGCAGATCCGTTGTAATCGATGAAACTAAAAGTATCCAGTACGGCGGCCTTCTAATATTGCTCAGATTTCAGGATTTCTCATTCAGACAAAGAAATACGAAGATCTGGATGCGCTGTGCCATCCAAATTTAACATCTCATAGACAAAACAAAGTCCCGTACTGCCTTTTACTTTAATTTATATTACCAAAATTACCAAGCCAAAATTGAATTGAGGCTACCAAAGCGGATTTTTCTTACTTATCACTGCCCTTGCGAGCTTAATTTTAGCGCCCCTTATTTTGGCTGTTTAGCTCTAACCTGGCCCGAATTCCAGGTCTCTACAAATACATCACCCCCTAGCCAAACTAGATTTGTAATTGAGCATACAAGCGCATTTTTTCTCATTTTAAATCACTGCATCCAGAAGCAGCTTAAAAGTATAATGTCAAAATGGGCGTTACTCTGGCGAAAAAATAATCTTCCTTGAATAGCCCACTTTTGATTTAGCTTTCGCTCTTCTGAAGCTCCAAATGATCACCTAAATTTTATTTCATCTCGATGGCACCATCATTTCTATCCTTCTTTCAGTTAAAGCAAATAGAGTCAATCTCTCACCAAAAAAATCTGTTGTTTTAAACAATTTTTTTAAAGTCCCTGAAGTAAAATTTTTATCATATAGTATAAGATAGGATGAGCTGGTCGCCGTTGTGAAAGACGTGCTGACTGGTCAAAAATCTTAAAGGTACTCTGAGGACCGTAAGTGATCAGTGCTGTGCTTGAGCTTCAATAGTCCAGGAAGATATGTCCAACAGTAGATGATCCGAGATTTCGCACAGTGCCAGACAAAGGAACAACACGGCCAAAGTAAAATGCCCGAATCCCTTTGAGTCCAGACCATCCTACGTTGTGATCAGCTGCTCTTACCTGTTGCTAGAGTGTGCTTGGTCATCCGGACGCTAGTCTAATACACTTACCCACCACTAATAATGAGCAGTTTTTATTGTTCCAGAATCGCACCACTGTTGTGTTGCTGAGAAGTTCGAGTTAAATCCGTTGCCGCCGCCTGAGTTGCTGAGGCGAACACTTCTTACCTCACCGTTTCCCTTCATCCCACCTTTTATAATTTTATAATGCCCGTCAAAGGAGCCCCCCGTCCGTTCCTTGTCAGAACGGAGTGATTTACTCTATTCTGTCTACAGATCTTCTATCGACTACAGTCATATCAGACATTTATGGTTTCATCTCACAGACAGCCTGAGATGTTTACAAATGACAAGGTTGAAAAGGAGAACGACTTAAAGACGCCGGAGCTGATTTTATATTTATTGCTTGCTACTTTCAAATACATGTGTATTTTATTGGCCTCATTTCTTAAGACACACTACCGCTAAGAATGTAAGATTGTTTACACTAATAGAAAAGCACAAATACCGTCCAATTTTTGTTGAGGAACGTGTGAATGCTTTCTGGATTGTTTAATGTCTGCACACCGCCCTTCAGCAACGCAATAACTGTGTTGGTGTAATTGCCTTTTTCACTATTTGCAACCTGTCGGAAGAGTACAAAATCTGGTTGCATAGTCCTAAAAATTATCCGAACTTGCAAGATTTTCCGAACAACATTCACACGCATAATCGCAGTTCAGTGCAGTTTGAACCGAATCCCAAATCACTTCGTAAAATTCTGGAAGCGAAAGAACAAACATTCTTCCACAAAATTTCAAAAGTTTGCGGATATTTTCTAATTCATGCCACTGCGATTCGTCTTCTGGACAATTCAT